TTAACTCAAATGTTTTGAGAAAAAGTGTATTCACGGTAGTCGGTAAGCATTCAGCGTAACGTCCCAGTAAGTTATAATTTTGTTCTGTTGGATACTTTTTCACGATGTACAATTTTATTCTTTAAAGAAATATGTAATGAAGAAGAATTAAAGAAGGAAATGTGTTTTAAAATGTTAAATTTATGTTGATGTTACCAATAATAGTTACGAATTCGACATTTCCACTGAAATTTCGAGTTGCTCATTTGATAAGATATTTACATGGAATCATAACCACAGATTGGACTGGATTTGATTATATGGTGTCAGTATCGTTCATACTTTATTCAGTAGGGTATTATTAAGTAACATGTAGGGTTGTTGTGGCTAATCATGGGATTGTAATTCGCCTCCCGTGCAGTACTTACAATAGTTACGCGTGTAATATTGTAACATAATATGCCTTCTTTCTCCATTGGAAATAATTAAAAAAAACACTACCTTTATTTTTAAATCTTTCATTATTTAAAAGCGATGAAGATTTTCATTTTTTTATATTTATATCGCAAAAGTTACTTTTTTGTAAAATACTATTGTAGTTTTTTTAATAGCTAGTTGAAATTTGATGCTTAAGACAAAAATTTTCAACAGAGAACGTACAAGAAATTCCAATATGTTTGCAATTATTTTAACAGTAAGCGTTTACAATAAATATATTATAAGATTCAGGTAAATTTTTACAAAAACTAATCCATATATTTACTAGTCTAACTTGTAAAATTAATATCTTTTTTTCTTCGTATAATATTAATATTGAAAGATAATCTGTGGTTTATTTTGGAAATTATTTTGAATTATAACAACCATACTTAATGGAACTATATGGATGCTCCCTAAGAGGATCTGTCTTTATATATGAATAATTTTCTTCTACTACTCTGGTATTATTTTTCACAAGCGACATCAAAGCGGATTGTATTACCGCGATAATTCCTCGTTATTAGAACTGTAGGGTGATGGTTTCATGGAAGCTTACCACACCCCATGTGCTGAAACAAATCCGTTCAAATTGAAACCGATGCAAAGAACTTAAAGGAGGCATTCGACTCTGTCACCATCCCTTCAAGAAGAAAAGAAATTGATGGTATGATGAATGACAATGAACAATTAATCCACATTATAGAAGCGGCCAGTGTATAGCTAATTAATGGAACTTTTAATAAAGTTAAGGTTGGTACTCTGAAGCAGACAATCGTGTAAATTATCATGTACTTCAAAAACAACAAGCAAGTTTGTGAATTCTTAGCCAATTTTTATGAGCTTGAAAGAATATTCAATGATTTTAATTAAAACTTGCATCTATTTACCATTTAAAATTTCAGTAACCTAGAGGTACGTGTTAATATTGTTCAATCTTTAGAAACAATTTTTTTTAAAGCCTTGATTAATTTTCTGGGTAGAGACCGAAGATTTATCATCAACTTCGCCAAAATAAGAACCACCCTAGAGATCATGCTCTTGCATTCCCTTTTCAGTGAGTACAGACTCTAGGTCGCTACTTGAGCAAGGGAAGTGTCCCTCGTACCGTTTTTCACCAACTAATTATTGAATGCATAATTTTATGCATTTATTATTAATTTTATGCATTTATTTAAAAATAAATGACAATTAGTTTTCCATGCTTCTAATAGTAATAACTGATTTTAAAATGATGGGACAATAATAGATATACATTTAAAAAAAAAAATTATTTACAATTATGATTTTTAATAATTTAAAAACAAATTCTCCCATATCCTTAAATTCTATTTTGTAATAATGAAAACTAAACTTAGTTAGAAAGTAATTGTATTCCTATCTTGAAGAATGTTTAAGACTTTGCGCCTGTAAGACCGCAATCTGCTAATCGTAGAAGTAAATACATATGCGTACATATGATTGACAGAAATGTGTCCAAACTTACACTGCAGCATATTGAAAGAATGAAAGATATACAAGATACTGTAGAAGCTTCTGTTTACGTTAATGTTATAGTATTAGAAATATAATACATTTAATTAAATAGAATAAAAAAATGTATAACTAATATTACACATCTAAATACAGAAATAATATGAGGTTGAAAAGTTAGATTTATTAGATGAAAGCAAATATAAAAAAATTTGTCTTGGAAAAAGTCAGAAGAAGAAAGTAGAAAACATTTGGCTCAGGTAACATTTCTCTTTGGGTGTTTCTATATGAATTTTTACAAAATTCTACAATATAATATTATATACCGCATATTGTTTAAACAGAAGATGGATATTGGATAATTTTGATTAAATTTTCCTTTGATGAATTCTAAAAAAATCATTTGATCTATTACTATCCTTGTAAAAAAAGTATTGGGAGGTACGAGATTTCGTATTGAGAGTCCCAACCTGCCAATACGGAATTCGCGAAATACCACAATGGGTGTCGTGGTGAATACGGAAGTCAAAGAGTCCCAATGCGGTGCAACTAAAGCTGCACTTACTGGTTTGACGTAAAATGGGTAAACAAACATTTTCTAACTCATTTATCTCCGAACACAGACACTTTTCACTAAATCTGCCAACGTACAATTTGGTAAGCATCTTCTAATTAAATTACAATAATCGAAAATATTGTTTAGATTCATGCAGAAACGCGGTTATAAAAGGAAAAATTGCAAAGTAATGTAATGCAAATCATATGACAGCTGGGCCACTATGTGGTCGCTCGGTTCGCTCTGCTTGCTTCTGCCCTCTACTGGCGACTGGCGTTATGTACCGATTGTGCGACGCATTGAAACGAAAATTCTTGTCGCAATATTAATTACTTTGACTCCATTTTTACATTGATTTCTGGATTATGGCTTTTCATGATGACATAAATATTTTTCAGACAGCCATTTTTTTACTAATCTACTATATTTCAACAGTTTCGCATAATGGTAAAGTTGGTTCACATTAAGCTCAACCGTATTTGTCAACTATGCGCTTTTTCTTATTAATTTCTTCCAATTCAATTTCTTTATTTCCCTTTCATTTTCCGTTTTTGACAAAAGATAGTTTTTAAAAAATCTGTTTCATTGTAAATTTGCGTAAAAAACGATTTTACGCCTTTTCTCACTATTGCAGAACCAACTCTGTCCTGAAAAAAAGCCCTTTTGATTTAAATGGTATTTCGCCTTTTTCACAAATACAATAAGTAACCTATTAGGGAATTTCTCCCATGGTATAGAAATTTTCTTATTGATTTCTTCACGTTCGATTAAACTGGATAAATTTGTATAAAATGTATAATAGATATTAAAAAGACCAAAATATATATCATTTTCCTTTAAATAAGTGTAAATAATTTTTAAATTTTCGGGAAAACAAAATTAATATAATTTTTTGTAAGAATTTTTAGGTTAATAATAGCGAAAAAAACTAGGTTTACCTTTATTGTGAGAAACAATTGTATCACTAATATTTCCTCCTTGTTGCTTTCTTTCCTTTTTCCAAATTTCTTCATCCCTTAAAATCATGGGCAATAAAAATTTATTCTATTTGAATTTTGGAATATTCCGTACAAAATGCCAAGGAAAAGTTACTAAGGAAAGTATTTTAATATATTTTAAAGGTCTCTTAGATCTTAGAATTTTAGTGGAAAATAATTTGTTGTCAGTATTTGATAATCCAACGCGTTTTGTGAATAAAGACGAAACGGACTTTAGTCTTTGTCCAAAGACAGTCAAGGTAATTATGGACATAAAGGATACAAAAATGTTTATAAAATTCAGCAAGGCAACGAAAAGGTAACCATTATTGTACTGATGATTTTCAATACGTGCGTGAAGGAATTGCTCCACCAAGAGTGGTTTTTCCGAATGTAAACCCTCCTTCTGTTATTAACAGTATGCCTCCAGATTGGGTTTTGGACAAAAGTGAATCTCTAGTTGGATGACTTCCATTGTGGTTTTCGAATACATAACAAATGAATTTAATCTATGAATTATAAGAGAAAAAATTCTTCGACCAGTTATCCTCTTTATTGGTGGACATAAGTCCGATTATCTAATCAGTAATTCATTCAAACTATGACCATATAAGAAAATTTAAAAATGTTGTAGCATATCGTCAACAATTTATTTTTAATCTGAAAGCTGGAAACATATAAATTCAAGATTGACAGAACCAATTTCTCAAGAAGAAAGAAATGCTGCTCTTATAACATTAACTGAATTAAATTAACTCAATCAAATTCTTTTTCTCGAAAATTTAATGATTTAAGTAACAATAGACTTGTATCGAATCAAATTGTCTCTAAACTTAAACTTTTTTTTAGCACATAGCATAATAAGGGAAGAGAGAGATTGGTACACGTAAACATCCCAGAGTAACAAAAATTTCCCATATTTCTACCAAAAAACAATCACGTAACTAATTTATTAATTAGAGATGAGCACAAAAATCAAATGCAAGCAGTTGTAACAAATACATTATATGCACTTAAAAAAAATGTTGGCTAAAAATGTTTGTATCGGTGTCGATTTTTAGTACATTACAACTTGTTGGTATGGTAGATGATAAAATTCAAAAATTGGTTGATTCTTAGATTCCTTTGGTGCGTTATATTGAATTTAATTTTCAAGAAACTTAATTTAATTTTTTTAATGCATTTTCAATTTTGAAAATCTGATTTAAGATTCATAATCAGCATCCCCAACAACTTCTCTATACCAGGATGTAAATTCTATTTCAATCACCTAAAATTATATTTAGAAACATTTTTATAAAATTTATTGTTGAACTGACTTTTACATAATGTCCAACATATGTGACAGTAAAATAAAATATTGACTGCTGTCCTAAAATTTTTTTAAAATATTTTTAGATTTTAATTAAAAATGTAAATTTTGATAAAGTTTTTATAGTTAATAAAACAATATAAAAAATAAAAGTTTTAAGCAAATATTTGTAACTTTAGACAACAATAAGGATATGGATAATAAAGAAATAGTAACAAGAAACTTGTATGCTTTCGGCGTGTTCACATTTATTTAATAAAAAACCAAGTACAATAATAATACGACAACAGTATAGTTGTCGAGTAATTGATATCGTAACATTACGATAACTATAAAAGTGAAAAAATCTGTACAATGAAAGACATGCGGGTAGCGGAGAGATGCCCCTGTCCGTGTTTACATTATTAATAATACATTTCACTGTTGGACTTCTAACCACTTCGCACTTTTGTTCTTTAGTAAAATTCTTGTTTCGAAAAATACATCGACTTAATAGCGGACGTAAAAACGTTTTGTTAAAATTCGGAACTTGGGGGAGCGGAGTGATAGGAAGAGGAATTTATAATTATACAAGAATAAAAAACTGATATATAAATCAAATAATATGAATAATATAGTATTCATGTAGCACGTAAAATTATAATAAAATTAATAACAGGAAAAAAATGTCATAAAATAAAATAAAAGTAGCAATAACGTATTGTCTTATAGTGACTTAAATAACACAGCATCGTATGATTGGGTCCAGTGGCTTTGCGCTTTTTATTAATGCTTTATAATCTCTCTTTTCTTTTCTTAAATAATAATTTTAATTCCTATTAAAAAAATATTTTGTATTTCCTTTTCAACGATTTTACACATTTTTTTTTTTTTAAATATACAGCAATAAGAAACTTAATTGTTCATATTTATAAAGCTTTGAGTGCAATTGTTGTAAGTTCCAGAACTGCCGGAATGTAGCGTACAACTTGATTTAATGCTTTTTGATAGCGGAAAAGTAGAGATTATACGAATTTTTAAGGAATTTCTGTTGAAAATTTCACTCAAATTTCCCACAACATTGTCAGAAATTCCACATAAGTTTAACAAACAATTTTATAAGCTTTTGTGAAATTTCTCTAAAGAATTTTATACAATATTTGCGGAAGAAAATGTAACAATTCTTTGACATTTATACTTGTGGGAAGTTTTCTATAGATTTTTGAATGTACAAGATCTGGCAGTTCTGTACAAAACGAAATTGAATCAAACATAAGACATTAAGAAACAAAAAGAGAAATTAAAGAAAAATTTGACCGGTAATGCACTGCGCATGAAGAAAATGTTACCTTTCTTAAAATCCGATTTTAATTTTGGCCAGTGGTGTAACTATCATACAAGAAAACCCATCAATTCGGATGAAAAGATATAAATTTACTAATGATTGCAAAGAAAGCAGAGAAAAATTTTTTTCAGGGTGAGTTCCTTGTCTCTAGTTACGCCACTGATCTCGGCACCATCTCTAATTTACTTAGGAACCAAACAACGTCACCTAGACGATTTAAAGGCATTAACGGGTCATAACATTGATTCTTAAAAAAAAAGTATAGGAAAAAAAACGAAAGAATAATACAACAGAACAAACAAAGTAATAGTACTGCTCTTCGTATATCCGCAAAAGGGAATTGTTTATACGATACATTATCACGTGACCGCCGTTCTTCTTTTCAATTTCTCGTGAACAAATATAATTATAGAAAATAAAAAAATTAAAGCATCTCAAGCACAGCATAAACGCTCGCAAATAACGTTTCCTCTTCGTTATTTGGTCACTTCTTTGGATTGGTCAGCTGGACGAAATTTCGTTTCGATATACATATATTTTTTTTCTTTTATACATATATTACTTTTTCATATTCTTTTTCAAAAATTGATAATCAAAAAAACAAAAGAAACAACAACAAAACGGTACATAGTCCAGACTTTATCACAAGGCAATTGCGAGCTTACAGCAGCTTGAGAGCAAAACCGGCTATAAAAAATTTATTTCTTAGATGAGAAAAACATCTGTGTTTACTAAAACTTGTTGATGTTTAAAATTTAATGCCAGCGTCGTATGAGAGAGCAGACAATAACATTCTTTTTTTTTATAGGAATTGAAGAACAATAAATTGCTCCCTAAATTCTGTCTCTCTCTCTTTCTCTCTATTTTTTCCTTTCAATCGTTTAATCTCTCTCACTCTTACATTGTCACTTTCTCTCTATCTCTCTCTCTTTTTTTTCTATATTACCATCGTATAATCGAACAGATCACGGCGGTCAATGGTCCACGGGACATTTGGCTACAGGTAACGCATTACAAAAATTACAAGGTTCTTTAAAATTGGGAAATAAGAAAAAAGGAGTTCCTAATTATTGCGATCCTCGACCAAGTCTCACTGGGATTTCATTTTGACAATTAAAAATAAAAATCGTATCCCTTATTAGCTCTTAAAAACAATAAATTTTATTTGTAGGTACAATTGATTCTGGTCCCAAAAACTTTTGCGCTAACTGACGAGAGATATGGTTTTTAAATAAGTGCACTTTGATATTAAATATGGTTGGATTAGAAATTGAGTAGTTTGAAAAACTGATAATTAAATTTTTTTTTTATTATGGCCATATCTTTTATCAGAGTTAAATAGAAAATTCTTTTTTTGAATTATGTATATCACATTTTTGTTAAAGCGCTAAAAGAGACAAGAGTCGAGAGATCAAATAAAAGATTGAAGCACAAAAGAAAGTCAATAGAAACAATAAAACCAAAATTATACCCTTCGATCATTCTGGCTCTAAACGTGCGTGCATGTGTAAGAGTATTGCAGTTGGCACCTTTAAAATTCGAGCAAATTATCATGAGATTCCTTGACACATTTTTGTGCACGTTTCTACGCATTTGAAAAAAAACGCGCATTTATGGCAAACTTAGACAGTCTGAGCAACTCAAAATTCTTTTCAAAATTTTAAACATAGTAATAGTTTATACGACATTAAAGAATTAATTTACGCCTGTGTTTGAGTTTTTCACGTGAAAGTGTTGGAGTATGATAATCAAATGAGCCTTTTCTCGTAGCCGTGGACGGCATTTCTCATTTAGCAAGATCTCGTGTTTAATAAAATTCCCAATAATTGTTTAGAAAATTTTAAAAACATCAACAATAGAGAAGTTTTTTAAAAAAATTTGATTAGAAAAGAAATAACTGTTTAGCAGATACGAGAAATGCATTATTGGCAGTAAATGGTGCGGCGCGAGACTAGGCCCAAATTAAAATACTGACAAAAAGATCGAGTACCTTCTAGACATGTACTACAATAATTTATTATTGGTACAAAGATCTCAAAATGTGAATGTTTCTTTGAAGTCTTAATCGACAATGAGAATGGTACACATTGTTTAATTGAACAAAGGTTTTGAAAAAATATACGCATTTGCCATTGTCGACGCGGATTTCAAAAAACATGACGGTACAAAGAGGTAAAATGATTAAAAAGAAACCAGAGAAAAATCTCAATCTTAGCAAATACCCATCGTAAAAAGAATCTCTGTCTGGTAAAGACTAGTCGATTACCTCTTTAACGCCGGAGTAATGTTCAACTTAACTGCGACGATACAATAGATAATAATCATCAAGACGATGATAATAATAATATAATAATATAATAATAATAATAATAATAATGAGAATTGTAATAATATAATAATAATAATATAATAATAATAGCAGTAAATTAACTAGCGTGAGCACCAATGCCCTTCGTTTTCCAAATCAAGAAAATCTGATATAAATCCGTATATAAACAAAAATATATTTATGAATAGGTAGAAAAACACAGAAACTAAATCTTTTCCGAAGAGAAATCAAAGGGCATTGGAAGTGCAAGCTCGCGTAACAGCAATCGACTCCTCCAAGAGATCATTTGAAAGGTGTATTTAAAATTAGAGTTTCTGATTACAAACTAATGCACATGTAAATATAATTAAAAAACACAATAATAAATGCAAATACAATCTTAGACTCTTTCACGTGGTTTGAGAGGAATTGGATCGGGTCTAGGGATGGTTTTTTTGTGGCATTACAATATTCGTATGATTATTCGTCATTATAATTAGATATTTATTAATAATTACGAGATCACAGTGACGCTTTGACGCGCGGGGATCTCGGGTGGGCGGGCTGCTGTCTTTCGTTTTTGTTAAACTTATATTCTTTTAAAATATTGGTGTGTAGTGATTTCTTAAAAAAGAAAAACAACAATTAACAGATTGAAACCTAATAATTATAGATCTATGAAATTCATTTCGTAAGGCGAAATGATCACTAAAAATATAATAAAAAACACAGCCTGCCCCCCACGATCCACATAGTCACAGTTACAGCTTATATCTCTCCTCTTTGTTCATCTTCATTATGGATCGCGCTTTTTTAAAAACCTTTCACAAACGCCTCTCTATAAATCTTGTAAAATTTGCCTTTACGTGGCAATTTGACTCTCGTTTCACAAAAAAAGTTTCGACTTTTTTTTGTTTATCGAAACAATAGTTGGTTTTTTCCAAATATATCATTTAAAATATATATTTCATATATATTTCATATATTTATGTTTTCCATATATATCAATGTTTATCAGTAATTCTTTATATGGCTGACTACTAGCTACAAATAATTATGATTCTATTTCATAAAAAAATAATTAAAAAACAAATAAACAATCGGCACCGTGATTATTTGACGGGCTCGGGAAAAGCATTAATATTTACATGCTGTTTTTTTATTTTAAAATTCATCTTAAAATTTTTTTTCAGGCCTTCACAATAACTTCCTTTCTACTTTCTTCTGCTTATTTTTCTAAAATCGCGTCTATCATATAAAATAAGCAACTGTTTGGCCTCGGGGCCATTTTTTTGTGCGTCGTATCACCTTGTGCAATAAAAAAGAGGATTATATTCTTCTGGTTGAAGGAATATAGTGTCTTAGAACACTAACTATTTAGATTTATTTGCTATTAAGATCAATAGTATTTGCATTTTTGAATATATTTTTTGTCACTCTTTTATTTCGCAAAAGAAATTGAGACTAATTTTTCTTAATGTGAATCGAGGACATGAATTTTTTTGTCTCTTTACTTTTAATTTGCTTTTTCCAATATGAATTTTCGAGTAAGATTAGAATCAATGAAAATAAGTGCAAATATCAGAAATACGAAAAATTATCTTTGGTTTCATCCATAAAAATTCTCAATTACTTTTAAGTTTTATATGAATATTTATTTGACCGCGACGATTAAAAGAGCGATTTTAGGCTCCTAGATAAAAGGGAATACGGAAGTAGATATGCTATCTAAATAAATACTATGACTATACACACTGGAATACTTATTAGCGACAAGTATATTACGGCACAAGTAAGAAGTATAGAAAAATAATACAGATAGAAGTGGATCCATAATAACCATTTTCGGATTATTCTTTGTTGCTATTGTACATTCCTAGAGAGGACCAAAAATTCAACATCTCTATAAGTAATGAGGAAGAAGAAATGCTAAAAAATTCACTTACTTGTTCAACTTATTTGAGCAAAACTAACATGTTGAAATTTTATTATCAGTTCTCGTGAACCTTATATTTTATATTTTTTCTGTAACAGAAACTAAATATGAGCAAATAATTGTAACTGTACGAATTTCTTATAAATCTAATAGTTAATTCATGAGCCAAAGAAAACGGTTGTGAAATCACTTGATTTTAAAAAAAAGACTTTCATCATTTAAAGGTAAATGAAACGAGTTTTTAGCAGAAATGAAGATTAAAAAAAAAGAATAAAAATAAAAATTAAGGAATAAGTAGAATAAAAACAGAGAAACATTAGAGTAAAAGACGCTTCCTCCGAAGTGCTATAATAAACGTCCAACATGGATAAGGACGCTTCTAAAAGCTAAGCTACCGGAGATCATTTGAAAACTGTCCACGGGTCTCGCAGCGAGCCAATCATTTTGCTGCGATCCACGACCTATCGATTACCTACTTTAATTAATTATTCGCGACTTATTACTGATTTAATTTTTGTATTTGCTTTTTACACATTAAAAAGTTACTCCTTCACGTTATGATTTTCACTTTTTTTGTGATTCCTGCCCATATTATGTTCCTGTAAGAAACAAGTACAAAATTCAGGGCTAAATGTACCCAAAAATTGTAATTATAACTTACGAGATGCTTGACAAATTTCAACATCTCATAAGCTATCTGGTAATAATTTATTTGTCTTACGTTTATATATAAAATTTTCTCTGGTAAGAAATAGTATTTAAATTTTCAATTTAATTCAGCAAGAAATATTAAAATTTCGATTAATTAAAATTATATCACGAATTATCACATAGTACAAGAATTTACAAGAATTTTAAAAATATAGACAAAAAAAATTTTCTAAAAATCAAAAGGTAAAATTATAGAATTTTTCTAGTTTCGAATCACGTGAGTGAATAATTAAGCTTATCAGAAAAAAACAAATTCATTTAATATAGTTTATCAGCTTTTCATTATTATTATAATATTAAACTTTGTTTGACTCTTAAACTGCATTACCTATGAAGCAAGACACGACCTTTTTTTGTTATCACCATACAATAGCACTAACTTATTTAATTCTCTTTATTTATCCATAATGAGATCATAATTTGATTATTGAGTTAAGTTCTCTTTGGAACTCGTCCTTAGCTTCCCCGTAACCCTTTTCTTCCCTTTCCGATCCGATCACTACTACAAAATTTCTAAAAAATCACTCGTATTGTGATTATTACATCTAAAAACTTTTTCGTAAGACCACCAAGGGAGATACATGGCACTCTGGGCCTCAGTGAATAAGGTTTGGTGAATTTTTTATCACCGCGCATTAAGAATGCAAAAATTAAAACAAGATATTAAAATATCTATCAACTTGTAATTATCTACTATCAACGGCTTACAAGTGAAGATTCATTCACGACAACACTATCTTCGCAAAAATTTATTGACGAGAAATCCGAACTTTGTTCCTCTTGTATATTTACTGCAAACAGTCATCAGCATCTTGTAGTACGTTGACTGGCAAAAATTTACAAAAATACGTCATAGGTATAATTAGAAGTTGCAATTTTCGGTTTTTTTATAATTCCGAATGTTTCCAAAATTGTTCGGAATCAACCGTGAAATTCTAAGTATTGGCCATAAGGCGACGGGTTGAACCTGTCTACATCATGTGCTATCATCGGCTTGCTGCGCGCATCTCCAAAGATGGCCAAATGGTTATCAAATAGCTCCGGATAGAGATACTTGCTGCATGTTGAATTGTGCCTACTGATGCCTGCCATTACGACAAGCAAAAATACAAGCAATGTTACTCTATCGTAAACGGGACACCAGTCTCCAACCAAGATAGAGAGCCACTGTCGTCCAGAGTGTTTCCCGAAGCGGTGCCGGGATCAACATTGATAAGATACTGTCTGTAGACGACGAATTGCTGGTGCTGCTTATGAATGTCGAACCCAGCACAGGCAATCTCGACTTCTCTATTTCCGCATCCTGAAATTTCAAAAATAACTACAATGAAGTTAATGAAGTTAATGATAACAAGTGATAGTTATTCTTAAATTAAAGCTTAATATTTAAATCATTGCTAACATTATTATTATCAGCAAATTTCATATATGTAACATTTAAAGGGACTTGTGTTTAACGACTTCTAATGTGACTGACTTGTTTTTATTGGAATAACAAACTCTACAGCAGTTCCTATCTATCACCATGTGTCTAAAATCAATCGAGGGGTCAACTATTCTTATTCAAAATGCAATTCTCTAAAAATGGAATTTTGGTAGGTATATAAACCACTTCTGTGGGAAGTAAGATCTTGTAACAGCCTTGTTCCAGTCTCGTTTATGAGAATAAAAGGTAAGTTTTTATTTATATTATTATAATTCAAAACTTTAAAAAAATAATGTGAAATTTATTAAAATTATAAACTAGGAGTGGGTGCGCTACGAGTGTTCTGTTGGTTCTAGTTTACATAAAAATAGACACAATTCCGTTTAATAATATTTAAAAGTTGAAAAGTCAACTTTACTTTATACTTTTCAGTTCAAATAACTCAAGTTTATATTTTATTTAGAGTGAAATTTCATCAATTTAAGAATAAAATACTTTATAAGTGAACTTGAAGAATCCTTTAATACTTATGTTCTTCAAAAGCTTTTACTGAGCCTTGCAACAATCTTATAGCATCAAATTATTATTTTCTCAAGTACAGGAAAAATAAATACGAAAATTCGAGATACTGTTTACTTCCTAATTGGGAGTGTCCTAATTGGATCGTATTATACGCCTATAGAACTGGTACTCACGTTGAGATATTTTTTAAGTAAGAAATTCATAAGTGATTTTTAATGGCGTTATATTAGGGGTTTCTTTAAGAATCATTAGGAAAGGTAAAACCTAAACATCTTGAAAATCATATGTCCGTACTATAATTTCGAAGAATATACCCTTGAAGACAGAGCTATACTGTCAAGTAAGGGATTATTATGGACATGAAATTAATTAGAGGAAACTTTTTACTGTAATTTGACATGTTATTTGATCCTAGGAATCTAAAAATGGGTTAAAAATGTCTATATTGCTTTAGGCTTAATAACCCGGAAACAAAGAGTTACAGACTACTGTTTATTTTCAAAAATAACCCAACACCTGCAGCTTTTTTTTCTGGATTTTAACTTATTAACGTATATTCCAGTTAGTCTATATTCTTGAAAGAAAAAATGCATTTATAAATGAAGAATTGGGGAGAAAAAGTTTTTAACTATTACTTGTGTTTAAAACAGGAAGATGAAAATTATTTCTTGTTTTGGTCCTGTAAAAATACTGACAGCGGTCATTTTTAATTAAAGACTCTAAGTGAATTGCTGGTGAATATAGATAATAAGGAGTTCTGTTTTATCGGCCGAAGATATTATCTTAGTACTGGGACTCACCTTGTGAAAACGAAAACGAAGCGCGCGTGTAGCGACGCTTTCGTGGCCAAGCACACGGCCATTTAATTTCATTCTCGATTTAGTGTTATTGTAAGGCGCAGCACGCCGTGAATTTAAAATGAAAAGTTTGTAAAAATTTATAAGTTAAATTATTAGTGTCATGTCAGGTCTTCTGTCGAATAAATAAATTGTTCAATTAAAATTAGAATTTGAAGTAAATTAAATTAAATGAAATTAATTATGATAAATCTAAATTCAGTGACAAAAAGTGTAATTAATGTGTTGATCTCCTAAACCCCTCTCTTCGCGGTTTGTTGGGAATTTTCCTAACAATTTCCGAATTAGTCTGGCAAATGTCTAAAATTAAATAAATTAATCTTTTGGATATTTTCAAGTAAAATATCCTAGTGCTAAATAGTATATTAAGCAACAAGGGGACAAAGGCAGCCAATTGTTTACGGTGATTTTTGTGACACGAGTGGAGATTAAAATTATTGAATTCAAAGTGTAGATGACGTTCACTCCTGACTTATTGTCAACCAGTTTATTGATTTTGGTTAAATAAAAAGTAAAAATAGAATTAAAATCTCAAAATAAATGTTTAAATTGTTTAAAAGTCTTTAAATAATTATTTAAAAATAATTAAAAATAAAAAGAACGTTATAATAGATAAAGATGTATTATGTTAGCGATAAATATATTGCATTATCTGTATGAAGATAATGCAATATAGATAATATACACACGTGCGAATACAAAGGCGTGAAACGATTCGCGACGCTTCTCTTTGTTTTCATCGTTCGGCTTCATATCTTGACCCCTCTTCCGCGACTTCCGATTCTCGTTTCTTCTTAATCCACACTCAGTATAATAATAAACTTGGGAAAGCCCAATCTCCGAAAGCGCCTTTATGGTCGACCATAATATCTGGTCACCGTCGTTTCACCCACTCTCCAAACATTGAGTCCAGTCGCACGATATATAGTGTGAGAAGAGAGATTATCGTGCGCGTCACATTAAGGGAGAATTATTGCAATATAGGAGAATACTCCTGAGAATCCTCCTCGTCAATTAATTGTGTCTTCTTGGAGAATTCGACATTTCTTTTCACGTCCCTCGCAACCGTATTATTATTATTCCCCGCCGCTATTCCTCACGCGTCCCATCTAAATAATAGGATTACTTTTTCCCATTCCAATAATAATGTTTAAATTTAAAGACTAATAAAAAATATCCAAAAGATATTATTCTTATCATTCCTTCCAACCCTTGTCAATAAAGTTGAAAATCGTATATCTAATATTAGTCATACCGATGATAAGACCGCAACGATCTCAAGGAATTCGAATTTCAAAGCAAGCACATTCAAATATACGCTGCGGCGATAAACTATTCTTCGAAAAACACTGAATATTTTACCACCGAGTTTCGTAATGTCGATACTACGATAAAGGACCGTCAAGTTTTTAATGGCATAAACGATATAAGTATATAAGTAAGCGATCTTTCTTACCTCAGCTAGCACCGTTCTAGAGACATAAAGTTGTACTCAATGTTTACTTCGAATCGCACGGGCGCGTTGTTAATGCCTCGGGGTAAAACTATTGCGCAAGGTAATTACGCGTCTTGCCAGTGAAATGGATCGTTCGCTAGCTCTATTTTGCCATAGATAATAGAAAAAATTAAACTGGTACAAAACTTGCGGTCGAAGATATACGCAGAAGCAACAATTGCGCACAACTCGATTGAATAACAACAGCTAAAGATGTTAAAAGATGAAATTATCAATTTTACAGTTCTAATGTTCCACTTTATAGTGACTACGCCCAGAAAGAAATCCCGGAACGAAAATTTTAAGTACAATTGTACAAAAGTTAATTACACCTGAGAATATCCTATTCTGAAGGAAATTATGACTTTGTTTTTGTTTTTCTCCAGTTTTGAAGCTGTTAACTAATTTCGATGAGATAAAAAAAAATTAAACTTTTTCTGACACGTATAGTGCGTCTTTTATGTTGGTGAAAATTACGCGTAAATATATTATTCAATGGTGGGACAAGTTGAAGTTGCGTGCAAACAAACTCTATGGTAAAGGCCACTGTAAGCCAGCAACTTTTTTTTGCCTTATGATGTTTGTCTTTTTTTTCATCTCCTGAACGAGGAACATGGTTAGAGTAAATCATTGCTTCATCGTCTAATGCAATCGAACAACTTCTTTTGCAATCTCTTCAACTTTTATTGGCCTGCTGAGACTTAATGTCTCTTACGACAATACATTTTGTGTCGTATTGAATATTTTTTTTTTAATTTTCCTTGATAATGTACTGTACATTAAAGCGTAAAATAGATTTTACATACGATATTTAAATGAATAGTGTTCCTTGAAACTGCGTGATATAAACTATAAAATTTAGAAATTCATTTTTAATAGTTGCAAGAAATTTTAAAGCAATATTTTAATTACTATATTTGACTATGTATTTCATATTTAATTGAACCATTAAAACCCGAACCATAAAAATATAAAAATATATATATAACACAAAAAATTGTTTCTCGAATTCCAAATTGTTTTAAAAATTGTTTAAATACTTCCCCCCGATGAAAAAAGTGAAATGTTGAGATGTTAATTATTTAATCAGAGTGTAAACGATCTTAATTAACGGACGATAAAATCAAATACTAAGGAAATAGCACAAAGATATAATTCAAGGTAACTTTCTTAATCTGCGGCTACACATGTTGCTATGCTCACTTAGTTTTACGTAAGGGGATGTGGTCACTTTGCTGTTACATGCCCGCTTACCTCCCTAATGTGCATATGTGAAGTATGCTGTTGGGGTTTCAGTGACGAATGGGAAAGACGAAAATTATTCTTGTAAAATCCCTCGTTCTAAATAGGTATCATCTTCAGTCCTCTACATGTGGTGCTTCTTTCTTTTTTATATTTTTCTTCTTTTACTTTTCTTAACAACCAAAATACATTCTACTTAATATAGAAATTTAAATATTTCAGTTGGGTTTATTTTATCGTCAGCCTCATTATTATCATTTTGAATTGTTTATTGTTTTCACATTGCAGACTTCGCACTCGATAATTAATTTTCACAAAGTGGCAAAAAGTAGCTTTCAAACTAAAAAAAAGTAGTAAAAAAGAAGTTATCGAAAAATTAAACTTGACGACCAAATAAACTCGTTTCAGACACTTCACAAAACTGACGAAAATTCCATTGTATATTTTATTTTTTTGACTTTTTCCTAATTTTCATCAAAAATATTAACTTCTTTCTTATCCTGCTAATAACTTGAATTCCTGCAACGAATTTTATTATTCATGAAAGAATTTATGTGAATATTTATAAAAATAATTTAATTCTTGGGAAGAATTTTATAAAAATTTTTAAATAATTCATTTCTTTCGACTAATTTTATGCAAATTCTAATTTAAATAATTGAATTCCTTAGAAATTTTTATTACTTATGAAAAGAATTGAATTTTTACGAAGATTTTTACAAAAATTTTTTTAAATAATATTGAATTCTGTTTGGAAATTA